GTTTCTACGCTCAAACAAGACTCATTGTGTCCCACTCTGACAGGACCCCTGCTTGTGGAGAAAAAAACAATGGCAAGGAGAGGATGAGCTCTTTAGTGGCAAAAGCAAAAGGTTCCTCTCCAGAGGCAGAAAGGACTACTTTATAGAATATATGACAAATGCACACCCACTTTGGCACAGGTAACTGAAAAGTTGACAAAAAGTTAACCAACATATTTCCTGTTATAATGTAAATGGAGCACCATAGGAACAATTCACACATAGAAAATATCTTAATTATGAGCCAAAATAGCTTCCTGAATGTCTGGAAACAATAGGACAGCTTTTATCAATGAAACTAAGTTAGTTCCATTGCTTCTTTAATATTTCCTCAAATAATTAGAACTCATTGTTCTCCTACAAGTCACCACAAATTTAACTGCTACATTTTCTTGAGCTATTGATTATTAGGAATTTAAAATACACTCCTATGCTGCATAGAAAATCCCAGTGTGTCCTGGGGAAACTCACACTGCAGTCCCACCTTGCTGCCCAAGGCCACACCTGACTTTTTACAAGACAGATGAAGGCAAGTTAGAATAAACCTGAAAGATGACCTTGAAGAAGGGTAGTGTGTCATCTGACGGTGGCCCCATTTTCTTTGCCTTGAAGACAGATGAGTGTTTAGTGCAGCACAGGAGAAATGTTGCTGGGGGCAGCTGCTTAGCTGCTCCAGCCCTCTGCCTCCTTGGGTGTTCATAGGGTGTTTGTTTTCCCCTGGAACTCAGAGCCACTTCTGTTGTGTCACTTTTGGAAAAATACTAGCAGTAGCTACCCAGACTACCTCTATGTTATTTTTCCCTTTTTAAAAATAGCATTATTGGGATATAATTCATATACCGTTCAATTTAGCCATTTCAAGTATACAGTTCAGTTTTTCATACATTCACAAGGTTGTACAACCATCACCACAATGTAATTTTAGAACATTTTTATCCCTCATAAAAAAAAAAAACCCTCTGGTAGTCAGTTCTCATTCACCCTATCCCACACCCCCAACCCTAAGCAACCCAAGCCTATTTTCTGTCTCCATGAATCTGCCTCTGCTAGACATTTCACATGAGTGGAATCATACAGTATGTGGTCTTTGGTCACTGGCTTCTTTCACTTAGCATATTCTCAATGTTCATCAAAGTTATAGCCTGTATCAGTATTTCACTTCTTTTTATTGTCTATTGTAAAAGTAGACCACATTTTGATTTTTCATCAGTTGATGGAAATGTCAGCTGTTTCCATTTTTTACCTATTTATGAATATTGCTGCTATAAACATTTTGGTAGTGTTTTTTTGTTTTAAAATGTGAATTAAATCTGGTAAAATGAATAGCCATCACTTTGGTCAGATGCAACTGAAATTTTGGTGTTCTGTGAGATAGTGAGGGGGTCTGGAAACCTCTTTCTTCAGGAGGGCCTATCAAGAAAGTTGACAACAGGATTTAATTTTAAATTTATAATCTACTTAATCTTAGTTCTATATCTATAAGAGTATATTATAGTGTGGAAGGGGAAGAGAAAAATATCAGGAAAGTTTTTTCATGGATGTTCCCCATGCTTGCTTAGTCCCTGACTGCACAAGTGCTTATGCATGTGCAGGCACATTACACATACACTCTATCTGCCTGTCCACATTTGGTCCAGCTGTCCTAGCTTTCTGCTTCAAAAACAAAGTGGATGGGCAAGACCAACAACCAAAAAGAGGAAGCTGAGCCCAGGGCCACTGCCACAGGTTGGAAATACTGGAAGCCATTCTTGGGCCATTTGGAAATGTTAATTAGGCTGGCTAATTCCCACTGATCTTGGGTTGCCAGTGTTGAGTTGAGTGTGTACGCTTATCCCTTCCGTGGCTGCACCTGTTCCCTTCCTCAGAGCCATTCCGAAGGGTCTGAATAACCCAGACAGCTCTCTGATCTCCCTTGCTGTCTGCCTTACTGCTGGGAGGATATTTAGCACTCTCCTAAAGCTGAAACTCTGGTCCACTGTTCTCTCTCTCATCCATGCCAGCTCTCAAAATCATTCCCTTTCCTAATCATCTTTAACCAGTTCATCATTTTCCACACTGTTCAGTAACAAGAACCCAAAGAGAGGCAGCCACTTCTCTTGTCCCACCCTGTCCAGCTTATCCCAGGTGACAGTCCTGGATGGCACTTTCCTTGGAGATGAGAAGCTTGGTTTAAGACCTTGCTCTTTTGCTCCCAGTGAGTACAGCAGAGAAAACATGCCACAGAAGACCCTGCAGCTCTGCAAGAGCCTCCATGACACAGAACTTTATGGAACACAGAAAATCTTCAATCAAGATTATTTCCTGTGTTTTTTTAATCTTTATTGTATATTTTTCATTATTATTTAGTTTCTTTATACCCTTATGCCCCCCCCAGCAATCACCACACTTGTCCACATCATGAGTCCTTTTTTCCTTTTTTGCTCAGTTAAGTCCTTGTTGATATCCCAAGTATCAGAGAAGTCATGCGAGCCCAAAGAAGTAAGGCATCTTTTTCTAAAAGTGGCTTCTAGATTCTCTGGGCTCCTGTTCTGTCTGAGCCCCTGAGTGGCTCACTGGCATATGAGTTACACCTGAAGGGCTCTCCCCAGAAAGGCCCTGCCCAGCTGTTTTTAGGTGTGAGCAGGGCCAATTCTTGATTCCCAGCACCCCTAACTGTTAAAAAAATATTATGTTTAAGATATATTAACCCCATAAAACAGTGTCTCTCAATCTATTTTTTTTTCATTATTGCCCCACCATGGAAGCTTTTGAGACATTTTTATTTCCTAATTTGTCCCCTTCCCGAAACACCACAGAAATCCTATTTGTTTATTTACTGTACTTATTTCTGGGCTTTATGCACATAAGGAGTGAGATACTTTTGCCTCCCAGGGGGTGACATTGCCTCATTAGAATACATGCCAGTAACTCCTCCACCAAAGCTCCAGAGGTAAGGGCTTCATCTGCTTTCTTCACTGCTATAGCCCAGAGCCTAGAACAGCACCTGACACATATCAGATAGCCAGTGATGAAAGGATGAAATAATTATGCTTTGTGTCTTTCCCCCATATGCCAAACATCACATGCCTTTTATCTTTCTGCCCCTCATCTCCAAGCATAGTGCTCTCTTCTGGTGCCTTCCAGCCTGCCCAGGAGACTTGCTACCTTATGCTCACCCTCAGGGATGTATCAGGAAGCTGACAGCCAACACATATGTTCTAAGTGCAGGCCTCTGCCCTTTGGTAGCATTACCTGTGTGTCAAGGGCAAGTGATATTGTAGCCCCATAGAATAATTAAGGTAGCCCCCAACTGTCTTTGCCTTTGCATCTCCTTAACTTAACCATGGATTGGAGGTTATTGAGACATTCTTTTTGGTGCAGCACACCACACCAGGCTGCATCTGGGGACACAGTGGGGAGAGATGCAAACCAGTCCTCATCAGCAATTACAAACAAGCCTCCATTGTTAGCTGCACCATCTGTTTTCTTGGTTTCTACCAATCGGGCGTCCCTATGCCCAGCATAGCGAGGGCCGAGAGGGCTGCAGGGGAGAGAGATCAAGGAGCTTCTCCGTGAGACCCCCTTTGCTCACCCTGGAGAAGTTCCATGGCATGGTGCCTGGACAAACTGGACGGCCTCAGCTCAAGGAAGACACATGAAGAGAGGTATTACGTGTGGGTGTTTTCTGTGACAGGAAATGGCCCCACAGCACAGTGTACTGGGGCAGAAATAGGAAATTTAATAACCACATTATCTAGAGGACCCACAGAAAACATTCTACTCTGTTACCAGCAATTAACACCTCCCAAGAACTTCTTGTGCCCTCAAGCACAATCACTGTGGTAAGAAGGAGTAGTTAACAGTGGTTGGAAATCAGGTAAGACAGAATGATGCTGGATCACCACAACTGGTTATTTATCCTAAAATTCCTAACCCCAAATGACTTTTTGTTGGGAGCAATAGATTTTCATCAATAGATTAGAAAAGAACCCCATTTAAAAGTATGTCAATGGTTGTTCCAATGGCATCTGAACCACTAGTCTTAGAGACTAGCCGTGTTCACTGTGCCAACCTTGGCAGGCGTGGTCAGTAGACAGTCCAAGTTTACAAATGTGACCACTCAGACAGCAGCCTGTGTCACTGATAAATGTCCTTTGTCTGGATTTGATTGTGGTCCAGTGATGCTAAATTCAAGAGCATTTGAGGGTTGGGGGTGCAGAGCAATGGACTGGATGCAGAAAGAGGCAGCATTTGCTAAGAAAAACCCATGTAGGAAATAAGATGGGCTAATTGAGAAAACCTGTCACAAATTACAGAAAAGTTTAGGTCCCCTCTCTGACTAGGCATGACTGCTGAGATCCTGCTGCTCTTCGAGTGAGGGCAAACATATGGTCCAATTTCACCATTACAGAGTCCCCTTCCCGAGTTGCCCTGTGCACAGCATGCCTGGTGCTTATTTTCTGGGGACTGTCAATCACAGGTGACACTAATACTGAATTAACACACTGCGTACAACTCAGAAACATGGAAAAGGAAACTTAGAGATATGTAAACTCGCACGCACACACACTTGGAGGGTATCGATTTTTTTAGGTCCTCCACTGAATTCCAAATATTTGTCTCAGAAACTCTTATCTTTGACTATATTTTACAACAAATCCATCTGGAAATATTGGGCAGCAAGAAAAAGGATACAGTGGTGAGTACTGCCTAGTGTCTCTAAGGTTCCCAATAACATCTGCTTTATACATCCTAGGAATGCTAATGTCTCCTTCATTTCACATTTATAAATGTGACAGCAGCTATAATTCTGTCCTGCCAAGTCGAATTTTAAGTGAATTTTCAATTCCTAATGATCTCTAAGACTGTGACAGTACTCAGGAAGCTCAAGAATAAATGTATTATTAGCACTGTGTTCATTATCAAGTTGGGTTATGGGTGTGCTGGCTGTATTCATTTGATTTTATGTTCTTTACCTTCAGATTAAAATACATAAAGGTCTCATTGCAGTATTTGAGCAAGGTAAGACCAACACTTCAGCAGATTTCCCCAACCACCCTGCTCTTGGGGACAAGTATGTAAATTCACTAACAGACCTCCTTCCATGGCTAACACCTCACTGAAATGTGCCCTCCCCTTCCTACTGCTCCTACCTCCCTTCCCAAGGGCTCTGCCCACACTTCTGCCCCTGCATGTCTGTGCTGCTGAGGGAACTCAGCCTCGCCTTTCTTCTGTTCTTGCACTCTGGGTGGAATCTGACATCAACACCTGCTGTCCCAGAAAATGTCTTTGTTTCCTGCCCTATTGTGTTGGGAGCCTCGGGGAACCAGTGGACTCAGAGCTGCCCCCCTTTTAGTTGCCCAAGCCTGGAGGAGCAAGATCTTGAGATGGGCTGATAAGACTAAGACACAGCCTAAGACACAGCATGTGCTGGGCCAGCCTTTGACCTCTTGCCTTAATCAGAGCCTCCAAGGCCTCAGCTCAGGAAGGCGTGTTGTCCAGGGGGCTGGTGAATAGAACAGATAGGGGAGGAAGAGCAGACAAAAGCTGAGGGGAAAAAAGGGTGGAGAACCAGGGGATCTCGAGGTTTAGGACCCAGAGGACAGGGCAAGCACTACAAGTGCTGCCGCCTCTGCTGACCTCTGCTGTTTGTCTTAGTCCAGGTCCTTCCCCGTGTGCACTGACAGAGAGCCACATCCATAGATTCGGGGCTGGCTGAAAACCCTCTGCAGGTGGCCTGGCTATACCAGTTCATGGGCTGACAGGTGGAAGGGATGTGAGATGATGATGACATGGAGAACATCAAGCTGTCTTTCATTAACAGCATTGCGAGAGTGGGACACATGGCACAGACACCAATCACTGTCTCAATAAATGTGGAAGTGGGATGTTCTGGCTCAGATTTTTGGTTTATCCAAAACACCACTCTCCCCCACCAGGCAGGGGCTGTTATATCTACAAGCCACTCAAGCAGCCACTATCACAGCTAGCTGACCCTCTAACCCAACTGCCCTTTCTTTTCCCTCAGCCAGTGGTTTGACCCAGTCCTGGAATGGTCTCAAACTAGGCTCCCTCACATCAGGTTCTAGAGGCAACATCAGCCACAAAACTCAGGTGCTCATGACAGGCCAGGCAGACCAGGGGAGTACAATTCCCTCCAGCACTGGGGGCTTCATGCAAAATTCTTGATTTTCTGGGACCACCATATTCATGTGTATTCTCATGCTTCTTACACAGAAGCGGTAAGTGGGGCTCAAGTATCCTTTAAATAGGAACTACCATCCCCCCCACCCCCCAGTTTTCAGCAGGAGGAGGCTGAGTGTGTTGAATTGTCCCTTTTGTGGCCCGCCTGCTCATTCCACAGCTGTCACCTCCCCATCAATCATGGGGTGCGGTGGGCATTGCAGAAGCCATTGCAGGCTGAGGATATACCAGCAGAAAGTTGGGGACCAGAGGAATGCAGGGGGGCACTGTGATTCGGGCTGCAGCTTGGAGGTGGCCTACCCCTTGCCCTCAGCTATTGGGGCCACTGCTTTCAGACAGAAGTTCAAAGGCCACTTTGCTACAGCGGTCCATGCAGCTGTTCAGAGTTGGCATCACTCTGTCTACCTCTGCCCTCCCTGGGTGGGAGTGGAGGGGTTCTATATTTTTCTTTTACTTAATATCCTATCTTTGAACATTACTTTCTCTTTCATTCACTTTTTTTTGTTTGTTTTTGCTTCCCTCTCCCAATGTGAAATGTTAAGGAATTTGAAGTGAAGGCATTTCAAAATGGAACATTATATGGGATTAAATGCAGGTCCCCACCTCCAACTACAAAGGGACAGAGATGCCTGCTGACAGAGAGTGCAATCTCTGTCATAGATGACAGTATAGCTGTTGTCTTTGTCAGAAGCAGCCTGTTTTTAAAGATGACAATAGAGAGGCCCAGGATGTTCCCTCTCCTCTTGACCTCACCAGGAGCAGAGGAGTGGAGAAAGCCCCTGTGAGGGAGCCCCAACCCACTGGGGAGATGGCCTCCTCAGGTCTAACCATGGTCGCAAGTATTGATTTTAGAGGCTCTTCCTAGAAACAATAACATAAGGTCAGAATATGAAAACAGATTCTGTCAGATAACTTCCATAAATTAATTTCAAATGCCGATAATAATAAAAATTTCAAAGGCCAAATCCCTGGAAGTGAAGCATCTTGGGAGTATAGAAGCTTGCTTTTGAGGCTTGTTCCGGAAACCTGGGTATAATGAAGCAGGGTTTAAAAATAGACTGTGAGGGGAAGCAGGGTGATGAAATGATCCTCTCACCCACAGAACTGCCCTGAGGAGACCAGACTGCACCAGCAACAGTGGCTGAGTATTGCAGCAGACATTCCTGTATTCCTCTGAGCATGTTCCCACAGGCCAGGGGAAGGGGAGTGCTGCAGCCACACTACTCCCTTTACTCCCTTTCCCTCCAATGTTAAATAGCAGTTTGCTCATCTGAACCCATTCAGACAAGCAATTTAGTCCTGACCTCTCATCTCAGACCCTTTGGGGAATAATTGAGTTGTAACTCCTGTAATATATTAATATGTAAGTATTAATTAGTATTCAATATCAATATGTAAATAAGAACTGGAGCCAGAATCACAGACAGGGAACCACAGAGTGCCCTGTGAAGTTTTACTTGTTTTCTCATTGACTCTGGACAGTGCTGTTTTATTGGCGCCTCCTCCCTTTACTGTAATCAGATACCTTTTCTCTTCATTCTTCACTTTGGGATTGGACCAGTAAGGCTCAGTTAATTTCAAAAAGATTCATGGTTTCTTTTATGCTTCAGGAAAGCCCAGAGGAAAGGCATTCATTTGATTGACTCAGCAAACATCCAGCACTCACAGCACTGGGAAGTCATCAAACCCCTTCCTAGGGATGTGGATCCATTTCTTCTGAGTGCCACCTACCCTCCTTGTTTGTATCTGGGCCCACAAGGGCCTCACTTGGTGCCATGACTCAGTCTTTCTCTGCTTCTTTTGCAGGGCCCTGGCCACCAGCCTGAGTGCCTGCCTCACAGCGCTCTTGGCAAGGAGTAGATGGTTGAGACTCCCCCACTATCCTCACCCAGAAACCTCCAAACCCAGACACTCTGGAAACATGGTAGTTGTGCTAGTGCCCTCAGCAAACCTTCCATTAATGGACTTCCGAAGTTAAAGACAAATCCCACTGGAATGTTGCAGGTTGGACTTCCAAACTAGGCACTGTTGTATTGCCCAGAAACCTCATGAACCTTGAGCTTCAAAAGAAGAAAAGAAAAAGTCACCAACAAACACAGACATACCCACCATCATGTAGACATTAGTGTGGCTGCTCCAGGCAGAGACAGCAGAAGATTCCAGGCTTTCAGGGAGGGGCACAGGATAGCTGATTTCTGTGCCCTATATTGTTTCTTCTCATTGACCCAAGCATGATTCACAGAGGGGCTGGCAAAACAACGGTCAAATTGTTTGAGGAATTTTCTCTGCATTGATTTTGCTAGGTCTCATGTTAGAATGTATGGTTTACTCAAAAATTTCATCATCAGGGAAATTGGCTTTCCCTAGGGTCTTTTGCCCAGGAGACATTTTACCTCAGTTGGTAAGTGTTTTTCCACCTGGTGACTGATGCCCACTAGCTTAGATGTTTTCCTGACCATGCTGGAGGCACTCCAGGTCATGACAATGATACTCCTATCACAGAGCACTCAGATGTTTCTTGAAATTCGGGGTCCTGTTCCTGTGAAAGCTCTGTAGGTCAGGAAGCTTCTAAGGCCCCTCTCAGCACAGCACCAGTCAAGGAGCATGCCAGCTCAGGTGCTAGATTGAAACAGGCACCCTGCAATGTCCATCTGCCTCCAAGAGCTTCCCCTGGAATTGTGCTCTCCTGCCCACTGCCTAGAGAAGACCATGGCAGGGGCCGTAGGGATATTTCCCATCATACAGAGCTTTAGGGTGACAGATTCCAAGCAAGGGTTTGATTATGCTTTTCAGTCATTTGGCTCTGAGGGATGCATAATGACCCTATTTAAAAAAAAAGAAAAGGAAAACCAGTGAAAAGCTCTGCCTCTTCTGGCACTTTCCCAGCACCCTTGCTGGGTGTCTGAGGGTGTCAGAGACAGAGAAATCAGTCAACAGGGAAGACCTCTGCTTCTCACCTAGGTCTTGGCCTATCTCAGTGTGGAGTTCTGCCCTACCACCCACTGCAGTCTTTGTCTTGTAAGGTCATTTTAGACACACAGGTCCAGAGTAGAGTAAGCTGCTGGCTCAGAATTTGGGGGTGTGGGGGGAAGACAGCCACTAGGAGAGGCCCTAGTCTGAAAAAAGGTCAGCCGTGCGTGGGTATTTTCCCTCTCTCCTCTGCCCTCTGCTCCTCTGTGTCCGTCTGCTCTGCACCCATGTGTGTTGCCCCAGCCCACTTAGGTAACCTTTCTGTGAGCCCTCAGAGCCTACTTGAGAGTGTCAGTGAAGCCATTTTCACTAACCAGTCAGTTCTTTCTATCAACCATCCAGCTGGTTTGGCTGGTACCTGACCTTTGAAGAGAAAAGAGCAGACCCAAGAGCAAGACTGCCTTTTGGGACAAGTGAAAGGGGATTGTGGAAGTCTTTCCTATTAGAAGGGTGGACCTTATAGTTCTAAAGAGAATTTGTTTTTTTTGCTTTGTAGGAGATTGCAGGTGGGGCTTAATGCCCAGGCCCACCAGACAGAAGCAGCTTAAACATATCTGTGTATGAGAGGATGGGGGATGCCCCAAAGTAGAATACATGGTCTTAATCATTTTGTGCCGTTCTGTAAACAGGGATTTGTTCACTCATTGGGGCTGAATGGACAATATAAAGGGTGACTGGAAGTCACAGCATTTTCTGTTGTCTCAGCAAATATCAGGAGTTTATGTTCTCCTCCCACACACACACCTTTTTAATGATTTGGGCTTTCTGGTGGGCTTGGTTTGCCCCATCACTCACACTCGAGACTGCTGTTGAGTTGCTTTGTTTCATATATACAAAATAGCCAAACCTTGTTCTTTCCAGGAAAGGCAGTGCTTGTTGCTGGGCTCCAGAGTCCCATGGAGACTCTGTTGGGAAGTAGTGTCTAGAACATTTCTACATGAATCTACAACATTCTAGAATCTCCAAGATTTTAGAACATTTCTTAAGATTCTACAAATCCCTGGTGCAGAATTCTTGGATTTAGTTGAAGTGTTGGAACTTGGGAGTCATACTGAACTCCCCTGGACTTCTGCTCCATGATTCCATTTTACCTCCAGGAACCAATCCTTCTCACCCTGCAGTGGCAAACTCAGTTGTAGGTAGCAAAGACCTTTCTGTCATCCCTAATGATTTTGGCAAGTCTGTGACCCCAAATTACAACCAGCAGTTTTGCCACTAGAGCTTTTCCCGAGCCCACTATTCTTAGTACCGAGTTTCATTTGGAGACTTGGAATGGAGAAGCTGGGGATCTGGCAACCAGGTTTGCTTGCAATCATCGGGACTTGAATCATTTTTGTAATTTGAGGTGGACAATTGAAATTTTTTTTTTACTTAGAAAAGCAAATATTGTGCTTTTGTAATTAATGCCTTTCAACTAAATTGCTAAGGGTCACTCATCCGGTGGGGTCCCACCTGAGTCATATTAGTAGGTCAGCCATCTGTAAACAAAAGTGGCCCTTAATTGGCCCAAAATCGATAAGACTCACAGGCTTCCACACAGGGCCATCGTGGTTTCCTTCTCTGCACTCATGTTTTACAGTCTCACTGAGTAGGTTTTGTACCTAAAAAAATAGTAATGCCACAAAATGATGACTCCTTTAAATATAGTAAAATCTTAAGTAGCCAGAAGTGAGGAAATTTAGCTTGGGTAAATGACTGTCACAGTGTCTTCATGCAATTAAGCCTGCAGTTCCTAAAAATCCACGGGGAGGTGGAGGGGGTTCAGCCTTCATTTTGTGAGAGGGGCTAACAGATCAGATCCTTAGCCTTACAAACAAGATCACCTGGGCCCATAGCAGTACAATCACATTGCATCTTCCTGAATTTCGTCCTGTGCAAACAACTGCTCCATGTACTGTTATATTTGTATCATCTGGAGGCTCAAGGGGGTTCTTTGAAACTTACTGTGATGTCTTCCATGTAACTATGCTACCTTTATGTCTACTGAAGGGGAGTGTCTGCATATGAAGGGAAGTTAACCATAAACAACCATCCTTTTAGTTGCACTCAATATCTATGTATAACATACACATTAATTGAATGCTTGCAGGCCTACAATATTTAGTCCTTGTAAATAAGGAATATCATAATTAAGTTACAGCATGTCATTTGATTTTTATTTTGCTCTTATTTAATTTTCTGAATGCTCACATCTGGGTTTACATCCAGGTGATAGAGATGTTTTTGTGTAACACACCTGTACAGGCATGTGTATATGTTGTGCCAGGTCACTGCACAGAGATGTGCCACACCCAGAGAAGCACACAGCTCCACAGGTAACCACCACGACTCTCTGGTCTACCCTCTTTTTCTTCTTAATTATGATTTACTATGATGATTTAATAAAATAGAAATACAGCACTTATGTGCCATATGTTTTTTTGTTTGTTTTTATTGTCATCTGTAGGAAAGTGAAGTTTATCCTAGCATTTAACAAAAGATGGTTTGCATTTTTACCAGAAAAGTAGTTCAAAAGCTTTTTGTTTCTAAATCAAAGCCTAAAGATTTATTCAAAATAGCAGCCAGCACCTACCCAATGAAAAATTGACCTCTGAGTTCATAACATGGTATGCTAAGACCACTCAAATGAGTATTTGAGTCTAAGCATCATCAATCTCATGGATTTAAATTCATCTCCTCTTCACAAATAAATAGCCAAGTCTATATCTCCTGCGATTTGTATCAAGGCCCACGGGACCCTCAACATTTCTCCAGGTGGCCCTCTGCATGAGCCACCCTTCCAGAGGTCTAAAGGCTCAGGCCCTGATGAGCATGTAATAATGTCCTCTGTTGCTGTGGCTGAAGTCATGTTTATGGACCTGCCTCAAGACTACAACCATCATGTTCTAATGGCCCAACCAAGTGGTCTTTGCCTATATTCTAAGCTGCTCCTGTGCTCTGGACAGCAGTGAACTTGCAGGACATTGTACAATCGAGCTCTCTAAAAACCATCCATTTGCTCATTTAGCAAATATTTATGAGTACCTATTACTTATAAGACATTTCTATGACTTCAAAATGGGTCCTGGTTGTGAGCCAAAGAGAGCCTGAATCAATTTGTTTTTTTTAGCTTTTGACTGATGATAAGAGCATACCTTAAAGGTATGTCATGCTTTTAATACTAGGCTCTTCATAGAATGAAGCTTGATGCAGAGGTCTTTTTTTTTAATGTTGCCCTTTTTTTAAGATTTTATTTATTTTTAGAGAGTGGGGGAGGGAGGGAGAAAGAGAGAGAGAGGAACATCAGTGCGTGGTTGCCTCTCCCATGCCCCCTACTGGGGAACTGGCCCGCACCAGGCATGTATCCTAGACTGGGAATCGAATCAGTGACCCTTTGGTTCACAGTCCCATGCTCAGTCCACTGAGCTGCACCAGCCAGGGCTTGATGCCGAGTTTTAGAAGCAGTGGTTCCTCCCAGCCCTGCTGTGCGGTTGTGCCCCTTGTCCCACCTTGATTCTGGTCCACCAGCTCTGAGTATCTGGATAGAACCCCAGCACTGGTATTTTTAAAGCCTTCCCTTATACCCCAGGATTCTGACCTGCAGATAGATTCTGGTTGCAGCTTAGACCAGCCCTGTTGTGATGCTTTGGGCAGCCCTTACCTCCTGTCTCATTTGTGCACCCTGGAGTACAGGGAACATCGGGGAAGACTTTTTAGGGAGCAGCAGGCTTATCTACAACTGTTCAGTGTAGTGTCCTGCCCCTTCTACTGATTCCACTTTACAGATGGCCCCAATTCCCTCCAGGATAATTTATGGATTTTTTTTTAGATCTGGAAATAGTCCTTTGAATTTCAAGTGATATTGTTATGACAGTCATTTGAAAAGCAATTTATTGTCTTATTTATACAAAAAAGATTGAAGGGTTCTAGTCATCATACTTCCTAAAGTGATTCCATTCATCTTTAAAAAATATACATCAAATCTTAGGCCAGGTCATGTCAGACCTTCAGCAAAATTCCAAAAAGACTTAACTTCTAGTGGTTCCCAAAGGACCATTGCTACAAATAATGACCTCAGCCTTTCTTGACTTTTGCTAAGTGCCAGAATTTAATATAATAATGATACCCTTAAGTTACCCCCTGGCCATAGTAAAATTCTCTAAGTATTCCAGAAAAAAAATTCTGAACATTTTTGTTTGCTGCACTAGAGAGTCTCTCTCTGCAGTGCAACTCAGACCTTTGTATTTATTCACTTCTGTACACATTCAAGCTAGTGTTATGCTCCTGCATGTGTGTATAAACTAAATTGAGGCCACTCTGATTTATTAAACAATTTATGTCAAGAGTAACTATTACCCTTTGCTTTTCATTTTATAAATGGAAATGTTTTTAATTGCATTTCATTTTTCAATTCAAAAAGCAAAGTTCATGAAAACGGAACACAAAGTAAACATCATCCCGGTTTACCTGAAGCACTGATCCTTGCCCATGCCCCAACCACATCCTCTACAATTACTGAAATAGGCCATTCGCTCAGTGGACTCACACAACTGGAAGGTGGAGCTCCAGGCCGGAGCTGAGTGTCATGGGCCCCATTTCTTGACAACACACCCATTTAGCAGTAGTCACCATTCTTAACCAGTGCAGGGATAGTTTGTTTCCATGTTCCTTTTGGCCACTGTGAAGGTTTCCCTAGGACCAAGTATGAAACCACTCTGACCCTCTCCTGGACCAGGTGCTGCATGGACCACCAGGGGCACCAGCATTGGGGAACTTGTTTTACCAGGTGACTCTTACCTATTCTCTCTATGGGCAAAGAAGAGGACGCTGGAGTTGATTTTTCTCTATGACCCTGGAAATACAAAGTGCTAATGTCTTCAGATCTCAGAAATAGATGTTGAGGTGAAGAACCCAGAGCAGAAGCAGGCTGCACATGCTGCTGATGCTGAATGTGGGCAGGCCTGCCACACTCCAGAAGGTTTCCTTCTGTTCTCTGCATACCCAGGTCCTCAAAGTAATTTAGCACTTGCTGCAGTCCGGCCACGATTTTATGTTGGTTGTCTCTTGAAAAAAGTTTTATGTCTCAGGAATTTGAGAGAAAAAAGCTAAAGATAAAACTGTCTTACATACCCCAAGACCTCACCTTGAGTGGAGTAGAAAGACTTGCTCCTAACACTGAGGTCACAGATCTGTAGCTTGCTGTCTACCACAGTTTAAACCACATCTTCACAAGATAAATGACAAAACAGCTGACACCTCAAGAGATTCAGGAGCATTTTAAATAATAGTACTATTCTCTCTGCCCCAGATACACTCTCAAATGCACCCTCCAAAAAAATCAAACAGCAAAGAAGCCAGCAGGAACTCTGAAATTATACTTTATTTCTGGGTAATAGAAAAGAATTTGCTGGAATTGGATATTGGTTCTTTTTCATTGTTAAAATTATAAATTAAAAATTTTAATACCTAAGTCTTCACTATCCCAAGTTAAATTGAATTATATGAAGGGGATGAGAATTTATAACAAGCTGTCATGTTAAGAAATATTTGAAAAATTATGCCTCTTACACAGGAAAGGAGAAATTAGGAAGTTCTTGTTCGTACCTTTCTTCTCTACCATGTCTGGCATGAAAAACACTGACCAGATTTTTTCAGACATTCACACCAACTTATTCCTGCCTCAGCTATCAGAGGATATTGTTCAGGTGATTGAAAATTCAATTTGAAACATTATTTTAGAAAATAAAGACTAAATGAATAAATTCTCCCCGGGACAGGAGTACTCTTCTTTATGTATCCAGGTATAATTTTTAATCTTCCACTTAGATGTCCCACCTTTCCCTTTAACAAAATGCTTGCTGGGTTTGACAGAGAATGTTTTATATAAAGAGGTCACACTCATCAGTTTCCACCTTGACTGGAGGTCCTGGGGGTCTGAAAAGTGGAGTGTGCCTCTCACTGAGAGTGTGAAGTGGGAAGGGGCTTGCTATTATGGCTCCTGAAAAGATGTTTTTGACTCCAGAAAATAGCCTGGCAGAGAAAAGCTTTTTCCCATGAATATCCAGGGTCTGCATTATGCTCCTCAGATGGTGGAGGTGAGTAGTTTTAATCAATATTAACTAAGAAATGGGCACCGGGCTAAGTGCAAGGGAAGGGCTTCAATAACTCATCTCCTTCCCTCACCTGCAGAGCATTTCAAGCAAATTTCTCGTGTACAATTTAAACCAGTGAGGCTGCACATTAATGGCATCATCTCCTCCCTTTAAAATGTGTCACCACATCTTGTCCTCCATGTTGATGCCTAATTATGGGCCCCTAGAAACAGTTATTTCTGTAGCCTTCCTTCAGGGAAATCGTATCATCTTCATTTTAGACACCAGGAAAAGTAAGCCCCTGAAACCATTTTGACCTGAAGAAGAGGGCACACTGCCAAAAAGAAAACTTAAAACAATAGCTTCTCTTAATCAGGGAAGATTTACTTACTAATTACCATTAAGATTTTAAGGAAAGAGCTAAAGTATAGATGTGTGCTTTAACCAGGTATTCTGTACTTTTTTTCCCTAAAACTAATGATCCGCTCCCATTCCACATTGCCACCACCCTACTCTCCAGATAAGCTGGTTATTCAAAAGAATATTCTTCTATCCTGCTTTCCAGATTAATGCAAACACACGCAAAGATACAATGTTTTCTTTTTTATAAAAATAGCATTGAACAATGCACATTATTCTTTAACTTCCTTTTTAAACTTTATAGTATACAATGGGCATCCCTCCCCTCTAATGTGTTCTTTTTAATAGTTGCATATTACCCCTTAATAAAGATGTACCTTTCTTATCTCATCCCATCTGTGATTTCCAATGTATGTTATAACAAATGCACCTGCAATAAACACCATCGCACCTTAGCCTGACATCCTGCTGCTTTAATTTAAGATAATTCTCAAAATTGAAATGATTTAGACAGTTTATGTAATTTTAGCCATAATGGACTATTTATTCACTTCAGAATTCTATAAAATCAGCTTTGGAAGTCTATTAAAAAAAAGCAAAGCTAGGATCCACGTCTTCCCATGTTTGTATAATGGAACTCATTAAATTACCCAGCAGCTTAAGAAAACATTTTTTTAAAGGGGGACACCCAATAAAAGACAAAATTTCAGACATGATAAATGAGGCATTTATGGACTAAAGAAAGTTAGGCCTCCTGTTCATGTGTGCCCACCCCATAAGTTTATTTCCATTAAAAACTTCCTGATTTTGAAATTTCTTCATCAAAATAAGTTCACCTTTTATTGTAGATGGGGAGGAGCACAGGCCTGGGCATCAGATAATACTGACTTCAAATATCAGCCACACACTGCCTATGTGGCCTTGAGCCCTTGAGTCCCAATCATTCTGACTCTTGTGATTTGAGGTAAT